ACGTTGCTGCCTCCACTGCTGAAACACACCACTTCACTGTGCTCTCATCTACTGTTTGGTCTGCATAAATGTTCAGCAAGTGTCAGTGAATATCAATGGGTGAAATCTTTTTCTGCATCAAGGAATTCAGTGCCACATCTCTGCTTCATACGTGCTTCCATGACAGACACCATTGTGTCAGACTGCCTTCTCTGCTGCCATCTGCCACACAGCAACAACGTGTCATAGAATATTGGTGAGAAGGTTTAACCTCTATTGTCATACCACCAACATCCAAGTCTGACATCATAAGCCAATGTAAGAAAACATGTTTTAGTACCATCTTCTATTCAGCACTTTCATAGATCCACAAAGAATATCACAAATTCCAAGATGCAATCTTTGCTCCTCACTTCAACTGTCAAATTGTGACATCTCTTTAGTACAGGTTTTGGATTACCTCAGTTCTCTTGACAAACACTGTCTTTCTACAGACTATCCTAGAATCATTTACAACACTTTGGCAAAGTCTTTCACTCATTAGCTGAGATTCACACTTTCTACTTATCCATACTGTACGTTTGTGGGTTAATCCTTAATACCATCTTAGCTAGGCCATCTTATGATATTCCCCATGCAAATGGCAGAAGGCTGCCGATCTCCCCTTATATGCCATTGTTGATAGCAGCCTCTCTTACACAGTATTTGCTTTTTCAAGCATTTCTAATTGTGTTCATTGTGTGGCTGTGTACTTTATATAAGAATTGTATTTGTAACTGTACACATAACATTAGCAAGTGCAGTATAGCATTAGCATAAAACAGTATGTGTTCACAAGCCCGACACACCGTCTTTACTACATACTGTTTTATTTAACCCTTGACAGTAAATAAATCAAGGGCTTTTTCCAGAAAGCAAACTTAAAGTACAGTAAGAAAATCTGTGCTCATGTCTTGGGAGATTCTATGCTTTTAATACTGAAGTAAATCTTGCTCAGAACACAATAACAATTTCTGTAATAATATAAATCAGCGTATTTGAAAATGACGATACAATTTTAATCTGAATAGAACTATTAGAATACAGGGTGGAAACTATTCTTAGACACTATGCATGGGAATAAACCTGCCTAATTATTCAATTTACATCAGCAACTATTCTTTTTGTACCTATTTTTTTCTGTTATGAATTGCCAAAAAGAGTCTAAATGCCAACAGTACATATCATGACTCTAGAAGTCCTAACTTAGTCTATGATTATGAGCACAGGCACACTGCTACTCACTTTGCTAGAGCTATGTACAACTTGTCAAAGTTCAAGAATTTACAGTAAATTTGATAATTGAAGTATGAAATCTTTTAGATAGAATTCTGTCCATATATAGCTTAACTGGACAGATTTCTTTTTCTGTCAACTTAGCCCTCATAGAACATGGATGCTTAGCAGTATAAAACTACATGCTGACATATATACTCTGAATATTAAAAAATTATTCAAATAAAACTAAAAAGTCAACAGTAGTCTCCCACTCAGTCTCCCACAGAATTTGAAGCCAACATTCACAATAGTTTTACTAGATGTTGTATTTATAGTCCCTTTTTTCCTCCTTAAAAACATGAATATGAATAAATACCATAACAATATTATAACTATAAAATGGTCTTACATATGCTTTAGATGCCTTCTCACTTCCACTAAACCAAAACTTACAGATTAATTAACATTTGTTTAGGAACTGGGGCTTTTATAATTGTTATAAATGTTCTTTACCCAATAATGAACTGAATGAGAAAAAGAGACAGAAAGAAATGATAATTGCATGTTTTATTAACTTCTCTTAGACACGCATTTCTCTGCACACGCTTAATATAAGACCTTACGGTATATTAACATTAATGCATTTCCAATGGGTGTGAAAGATTAGTCATTGTTTATATAGTACTTGTTGCAGCACTTGATCAGCGTTCTGTTACTGTTTAACTGCTCAGATTAATTATTCTAGAGGTGAGTAGGCATTTGAGTGTGTTTAGCACCTAAGGACTACTCTGCAAGAAAACCTTGTAAGACTTTCAGAAAGACAGTGTTTCTAAACACTGAAAGAAGGTTTACAAGCAAATGCCTTGTTTGCAAAATATTCAGAACCCTTCTGAGCACCTTCAGTACTAAAACACATATTATAAAAACCAAGCCCATTTAATAATTAAAAAAATAAAATAAAAAGGAGGCTAAGGATACAGGGTTCAGGCAATAATCATCATTGTCCATGTATTATGATTCTTGTGGTAAAAAGAAACAACTGACAGGCTCAAAAAAGTATACAGATGCAACTTTTATTTGGATTCTTTATTGAGAGGCAACTTTAAATCTATATTGATAACATAAGTGGTAATCTAGTATTACTTCACTTACCTTATAAAAACAGCTCTGCTCATTTCAAAATTTTTGTATTAAACATGTGAGATTTATTGCATATTATTGGATTATAAAGATTACTTTTTTTTTTTTTTTTTCTGTTCCTTCAAGTATTGGTTTGGTGAATGCCAACATTAATCTCTTGGCATATATTACATACATATTCACAAACCCATATGATGGCAGTGCTTACAGAATAGGTAATGTTCAGTTAAGCTTTTATACTTCGTTAATATATCAATGTAATTCACTGGTAAATGGCTTAAAAGCAACCAGTATAGAAACACATTCACACCATTCAAAAAACCTCCAAATACTCACCAAAAGACTGAATACAGGTTTCAAGAAGGTCTTCCAAAGTCGCCCCTTTGGCTAAGTGCCCCAAAGGCACCATAGTGACTTGGGTAAGATTTGAATGGCTGTGACAATGAGTGATCTGCTTCAGCTCAAGTGAGGATTCAAGGGCAGTGCTGCATCCCTGGGCAGGTTGCCTAGAAGAAAGCACAATAGTGAAGTAAGTACAAGAGTGAGTGACAAATTTTAAAGGACATGAAAAAGAAGGAGAGATTTAAAGGGCAATGAACTCCCTGTAGCTAGGTTAGTGAAAGACACAGCCCTCCCACTTGTAAGTGTACTTAAGAGTCTGCATGGTAAATGACATTTTTTTCCTGCTAAACACAGATAGTAGAGCACAGTTACAGCACTCTGCAAATGATCTGTCAGATTGCCGCAAATCTTATTTCTTTGCGTGTTACGTTTCCAATACTATATAAGCTACAAAACAGGAACATTGTTACACAGTAATCTGCCACCACATGTTTGTGTGATCATAAAAATAAAGGAGAAAAAAAAAAATAGCTTAATCTAACATTATTGGAAACACATTGTAACAAGACAGACCAGCTGCATTAATAGTGATTTTCCAAATGAAATTAAGTACTCAAATTATTAGTGCAACTTCACAGTGGAGCATTTCACAATTTAAAAAGAAAAAAAAAATAAAAAAGGAAAAAAAAAAAAAGCTGGTGAGTTTTTATCCATTCTATATTATTAATTCCTATTAAATTGTTTTAAAAGTGCATGCATGAGTGAATTAATAGTTTTATAAGTAAACACATCTTTAAAAGAGATAAAAATGAAGAACGAACCTTGGCTTAGACCAGTACTTTGCTCCTATTGCAATGTCTTAAGAGCTTAAGAGTGTACATTTACAGATAATATTAAGTGTTCATTGTTTGCATGCAAGCTCATCATTCTGTATGAAATATTAAAGAAGCACAGTGTTCTGATACATGTTCACGTGCAAATAACAGGAACTGATTCAAAATCTGACTTGAGAGCACGACACTTGTCGTTTGCAAAATGGCAACAGCCACTGTTGTTTCAGTGAAACTTTGGGTTCTTTTCAGAATCAATGTGCAGTCCACCATATTCTTAAGTAAGTTACTGCAGCTTCTTCATGTTGCTATCTTAAGCCTTCATATGACTTTCCTCAGACAGAACACTGCTGAAAACTTTATTAATAAACAGACAGCCCCAAGAAAAAAAGGCATAGAAATGTATCCAGTGTGCATAAGACAGACAGGCAGAGGTGGCGAGGATATCCTGTACTCCTGGATCAGTTTGGAAATAGAGATGCCTAATGAAGACAGATCAGACCCACCTAATCTCAGTGAGTTTCAGGCCTTAGCTTAAAATTTCTGACTCACTTTTCACGCTGGAAAAGTCATAGAACTGTAGATGAGGTAATTTGATGGCCCACACGGCCAGCAGAACTCAGACCTGACTGCAGAGGTAGGGGCCATCACTTAACTTTCCTGAAGCGAATCTGACACTGGCTATGCAAAGAATATTCTGTTCCCTTCCCCTTTTCTCTAGATTTCCCCGTCACTGTGCGATCTGACTTCCTGTTCTCAAATAAAAAAAAGAGCGAGGCCTGCTTAGCTTTCAGGGTTCTCTTTTTGCAAGCTTAACCCTCACCCCTCCACACTTTATTCCAGCGGTTCTTTAGTGCAGGGCACGCTCAGAGTTGCAGCAGCAGCAGATATGTTAGGTCTTGACAACAGTGTCAATACCGAGCAGTGAGCAGAAGGAAAATCATCCACGTCCTCCTCCAATAAGTTTACAACAATAACACCGTGGCCGACTTGGCAACGCTCCGCGGGTGACACATCCGAAACCGATCGCCACGTTAATTAGCGCGGATCCCCGCACAGCGGCTTTTCGGCGCGGAGAAGGCACTCGAAAAGCACGCCGGGCTCCCCGGTACGCCGCTGGGACCGGGACGGACCCGCCCGCAGCGCTGACAGCGGGACGGCTCGCAGCCTCCAATCCCGTCGGCGGCACTGCTCAGGTAGCCGGGCTGCCTCTCCGGCTGCACCGCACGCTCCGGTCGCGCCTTCAGGTTGCTCTCCGCAAACGCGCCGCCCGCGCCCGCTCGGATGGGCGAGCCGCTGTCCCGTCCCGCCGCTTTGCCCTCTCTCCCAGCCCCACGGAGCCCCGCGCCCCTCTCGCCGCCTCGGCCCCTGCGCTGCCGACTCACTGAGTTTCTCTCTTCTTGCCCAAGGTTCCCATGCCGGCGCAAGTTTCGGCTCCGCGCGGCCGCAGGGAGCCGGACTGCTCGGGGCGGAGGGGACAGCGGGGAGGCCCCGCGCATCGCCCCCGTCCCGCTTCAGGAGGAGCCTTAGAGCGGCTCGAGCGGAGCAGCCGCCGCCCGTGACAAGCGCAGCGGAGATCTTATCGGCAGGAGGAAGTGCCGAGCTATCGCTGCTTTTCTCCGAACCGTCGGCTTTACCAGGTACCCCGAGGCGCTCCGCTGCTCGCGTGCGGCGCGGGCTCTCACCCGGGGCAGCCCAGGGGGCCGGACCTGCGGGTCACGCGTGCCTCGCCGCTCCCCACCCGCGTGGGGCTGTTGCCGGCGCGCTGCGAGCGGTGAGGGCCCGCACGCGCCCCGCTCCTGCGCGCGCTGATTGGCTGCTCGGCGGCGGCGGCGGCGGCGGCGGGCTGGGAAAGGGCCCTGGCGGCAAGGACTCGCGTGGAAGACCCGGCGGGCGCCCGCGGGAGGCAGTTGCGAGGGAGGCGGCTGTGGTCCGGCCCGGTTCTGCCGGCGGTACGGCACGGGCGGCTGGCGCAGAGGTGTGCGCTGCCGCAGGGCGGGCGCCGAGCTGAGATTCTTACATCGACAGTTACCGGTTTAAAGCACTTGCGCTCAGCTGCCACCTCTTACCGTCCTTCCAGCCTGCTAGATTTCCTAAGCGCTTGCACTATTAATTGTCCCATTTCAGCCGTTTGTTCTTCTCACTTCAGAGAAGAAATGACCCGACAATAAAGCTGAAAGTCAAACTCAAAGGTGCTGTACTGAGAAACACGGGTACCTGAGCAGGAAAGTCAAAGGGCACCCAGGCTTTGTTGTTCTGAGAGCTCTGTTTGCATGTGGAAGTTACTTTAGCATCAAAATGCTATCATACCTCATGCTGAGACGAGGGTGGTTCTCATTAACTGTTTCTTTAACTGGTAAGATTCAGATATTCTGAGTAATTCCTTGCCAGCAATCAGGACACGTTTCTCTCCAGGTGTCCAAAATGACCAAATTCACCAAGGCCACAGCTTGCTGCCATTTCCTGAGGTTCATGGTGACTCTGGCTGTCACCACAACTGTGTAAACCTGACTACAGACCTGCAAGTGGAAGGAAAACCCGGCATGCCTCTGGAAATCACCCCTGTGATTCACCGGGTGTCATTCCTCTGAGTAAGCATTGAGCTCATGTCCAGCTTGAAGATCACTGTGCTTTATGAAATAAAAATACGTAATGTACATCCAAGACCATGAGTCATGTCTGCAATGTTCTCTGCAGCATCTATGTTGGTAAGCCAATATCCCTGCCTGCTTCTACTTTAGACAGGTATATCCCAGCTTTCTTTGCTTTTCTTTAATTGTAGTTCCCTTGAGTTCATGCACGTGCATACACTCATAGACAAATGAGTACTCTCCAGCTTTTTTATCAGGAGTTAATCCATAACGAATCTTACACAGCCTTATACAAAAATACATTTGCAACTTACCTGTACAACATCCTGATGTGCTGATCCATGAATGTAATATTCTCCAGGCAACATGCCCTCCTGTTGTGAAGTAGGTTAATACCTTGTCTGTGTCCAAACCAGGCTTGCTCTACTGAAGAGCAAGATAAGTTTCTTTTTCTTCTCAGATCTGAAGTAGGCAACTACTTTACATTTAACTTGTGGTTTCATGCATGCATTCTTCCAGTAGCTTTCGCCTAAGTCTATTTCTCTGTGAAATCCCAGGTCGATTACAAAGGTACTCAAGTGTCCTGCTGGAATGGCGAGTGAGAAAATTCCCTGGTGGTAACAGAGGGCCCTACAGGATGGTGGGGTCAGCAGACGTTGTTAGGAAGGCAAGCCAGATAATCCAGTGTGGGAAGCAGCTCCAGAGAAGGAGAAAAGATTGCTAATACAACTGGAATGAAGGACAGCATATAGAAAGTATGAAAACCCTCTGCTGGATCAACTTACATTATGAAAACAAGTAGTAATCAAAATAATTGGGTTTAGTAAGTTCTCTTCAGTTAGAGCTGCTAGCAATTCTATGTGGAAAAAAAATAATAATTAAAAGGTGATAAGCCAAAAGTGGGGCTATCGTGTGTGATCAGCTTTTACAAATAGTCTCCCTACTGACAACATCATGTAAATGTGCTTCCCTATTATAACTGAAGTTTGTAGCTGTTAAAATGCCTCTTCTTAGCATGAAATTTTACCTGTGTTGCAGCTAGTAGAGCACTTCTAGTGTCTCGTTCCAAGCCTGGTTCAGGATATTAATCAGGGTTATCTAGAATTTTGATTGTTTTCACTACCTTACCAAAAGTTTCTATTCTTAGAAAGCTTCAATGTTAGTGAAGAATTTGATCTGATAACCCTACTGAGGTTATCAGACAACGGCAATTCCCTCTGCTGTTTTCCTCCTGCTGCAGCTTTGCCACAGGGGCCAGAGATGAAGTGTTGCCCTTTCTAAAGAAACGTGATTGATAGCAGAGTTAGTATTTGTGACTTTACACTTGTGTCATGATAGGAGTATCTTCCTTCAGCAGTGCATGTTCTGGGACAACTCTCTGGACAACTATAGCTTTTTAAACAAAAGGGTGTGGCAATAAAATTCATCCTTATGACTGCAGAATAAGACTCGAAAATATGAAACTGAAGCATTCAGAGAGTACATAGCAAATTAAGAGGGGTGTGAACTGATTGTTTTTAAAACGTGTTTTTTAAGTCATATTGAGAAAGACTGCACTAATCTTGAGTGCTTTGCGTTGTCAATAATGTGACTGTGAGACTCCAGCTTTTTTGTTAGAACAGAAAATATGGAGAGCACCCAGTAGCATCTGGCTCCTTAAGTTTAGAACCACAGGTTTCAATACATTATGTGTTAAACAACTTTAAAAGTTAGTAGCTATGCTACTAATAAGTATAGCTATCCAATCTATCTCTATACTGAGGTTTCTGAGGCTGTAAAGGCTGCTTCTGTCAAACACTTCAATGGCCAGTTGTCAATATTGAGCCCACTGAGGAATTCACTTACAGAAAGTCAGTGCAAATCAACTGATTCTTCTTGCGTCTTGGGAGACCTTGAGCATATATAGGTCAACTTACTTTTAGAATTAAGGCTGTAAGACAAACTAAATACAACTGTTTCTCTTTTATCTGTATGCCTTTAAACACAGTGAGTGGGGAGGGATGTATCACTGAAAAAATGTGGAAATTTATATAAAGCAGTGTTATACAATCATCCAATGCTTAATGGTGTCTATTTTGTTACAGGTATTTGCCAGTCATGAATTCCCCACCACCCTCAGTGAACAATTAGGCTGATGATTACAGCTGCTGTGAGTCATTTTGTCAGTTTGAATGCTAAAGGTCTGTGGGATGGACTGAATGATTCCAGTCCTACTAATGATCCATGTGGGTGTGAACATGCCACATGATGGAACATCTGTGGTTTTGAGTCTTGGAAATTACAGAGAAGGCATAGTTTGTAGGTAAAAACAATATCTTCTATTAGACCAACTGGCAGTCAGAAAAAGCATGATTTGAAGAGGGTTTCTGCAGAGAACCACAGAAGCAAAAAAAAGAATAGGTTTGGAAGGGACCTCAGGTAGTATTTAGTCCAGCCTCCTGCTCAAAGCATGGCCAGCTGTGGGACCAGATCAGGCTGCTGAGTGCTTTATCCAGGTTACTCTTGAAAGCCTTGAAGACCCTTGGAGAGCTGTGTAATCCAAAATTAGGAGATGGATTTGTCTCAGTGCGTGTATGGATGTTGATACTGCCTGAGCCTATAAAGCAAGATGCAATTCCCTTCACTAGCACTCCTGCTTCATTCAGATCCCAGTATGGATATGTATGTAATAGGAAGGGGCACATAAGGAGGCACACTGGTGAAAAATATTTTCAGCAGCTTTTATTCCAGAGGTTAGATGGCATGTAATCATTAAAGAAGAAGGACTGTAGAAGTAAAGATTTGGTCTGGTGGATGAGATAGGTCTCAATTATCATTATTTATTTGTGCAGATAATTTTCAAGCTACTGATGGACAAGTCTTGAACTTTCAACTGCAACTTACTAGAAGGTAACTGAAGGGTTGAAACTGTTAGATATTTCTGGTTTTCATCTAGAAGACTTCAAAAGAATAGAGTAAAATGACTTGTTTAAGTAAGACCAGCTTATATAGCAAAACATCAGGTCTAGTAAGCTAGGAAATGCTATTAACTGGTAGAATTCTTCTGAATAGGACCACACTTGGTTTTGTGTGGCTTTGAGGCTCTGTCCTGAAAGTAACATCTTGGCCTTTCTATTGAGTAAACACTTCAATGTTTTCCTATTTAAAAGAATGCAATCAGTAAGCATTGATTGTCTGCCTACAAGTACAACTAAACTACCTTGCATCAATGTCCGGCCATTTCAGCAGTAGCCAACATCTTTGAGATATTATGATACAGTAACATTCAGTGAAACGTAATGATTTGACTAACTGAAATCTGTGTTCTGTACTGCTGAAACCAGAAATACACTTAATTCTGCCATACAAAGCCTGTTTGTAGTGTGAGTCCAGGAGCAGTGTTTTCCTAACGTCTATTCCCTTACAGAAGTCCATAACAAAATTGTTTTCCTTTACAGTCTTTCAGAATTAATGTATTTTATTAGTTTTGATTTAAGCCACCAGGACGCTTAGATATAAATAAATTTATGAGTTGATTTTGATAAGAATTGCACAAAAACAAATCTCCTTCTCCATACCTCATATGCCCCTCACAAAACCCCAATCATGCTGCAGTGCCTTTTTTTTTTTCCTTAAAATGTGTGTGAAATATGGATAAATGAGGTGAAAAACATCCGACACCTTTGAACAAACTACTGTCCAGAAGTGGTGAGACTCAAAGCACAGAAAGGATACTACTAAGAATGCCTCTTTTAGTTCACCATCTGCTTAAAAGAACAAAACAGCTGCTTGAACAGGATGTAGATAACATCATTCCCTATGTCCCTTTGTAAACATTTTCCAAGGAGACAGTGATTAGCTACTTCCTTTACAGGATATCTCTTGGTCAGCACCAAGAAGAGAGACACAGTTTATTAGAAATATAGAAGTGAATTGTTTTAACCTTTTTAAAGTACTTTCACAGATAAATTGTTGTGGCTCAGACAGTACCTTTGAAAGCGTGACAGGATGAAAGTTGGGCTCAGTGAAATGTGGGTTCTTTGGTGTTTTGGTGGTGTGGTTTAATGTAATACTGTTTTTCAAATACCAACTCAAATTGCAGTGATCCTTTGAATAGGAAAGAAATGTAGATACATGATTTCCATCAGACTGAGCTGATTCAAAAGTTTCAAACGCAATGCACAAAATCTGATTTTGCTTTTGTGGAGCTGAAGGCCAGTATTAATGATTTTGCCCTCACTATTTGCCGTGGTAGGGATTGTGTGAAGAAGGAAGAGTGACAGATAAGGAGAAAGAAGTAATCACAGTGGTTTCGCAGGATGTGGATGTTTTAGGAATGGTGTTTCACTGCCCTTTGCTGCCTTTCTGATCTTATAAGCAGGGCAGAAAAAATTTCCAAGGGGATTTTGCCCTGAAGTACAAGCTAGTGCTAATTTGAACTGAACACTGATTGAGTGATGAATGTAGGTGGACATAATGCAGTGCGTCAGTAAATTCCAGATTCCTCCAGACCACCTTTCCTTTTGTATTGCCTTAGGGGAAATGCTCTTTTCCCTTCCAGCCTGGTTTTGCTTACTCTTCCCTCTTCTCCTCTTGGTGTGCTCAATATGAAACAAATGAGGAAGAGTGGAAGCAAGAGAGCAGGAGAGAAAAAGCATCTTCTCGCAAACGCACCCCAGCGCACTGTGGAGCTCTTGGTGCTGGGGATCAGCGGAACAGGGTTGTGAATAAAGGCAGAGTGGCTACAGTTAATACCAGTGGTTGCCAAGGGCTTTCTGTCATCTGTTGTTATTGATACAAGAATTAATGGAAAGTTGGCCATTATAAAGGAAAGGAAAGGAAAGGAAAGGAAAGGAAAGGAAAGGAAAGGAAAGGAAAGGAAAGGAAAGGAAAGGAAAGGAAAGGAAAGGAAAGGAAAGGAAAGGAAAGGAAAGGAAAGGAAAGGAAAGGAAAGGAAAGGAAAGGAAAGGAAAGGAAAGGAAAGGAAAGGAAAGGAAAGGAAAGGGAAAGGGAAAGGGAAAGGGAAAGGGAAAGGGAAAGGGAAAGGGAAAGGGAATTGCTTAGCCATAGGCTGAACTTTGTGAGTTTTGCATGTATGCATATGTGATCTAGGACAATCATGTTCTCATGAAAGGATCGTAAGATCTGCTCCTCAATTTGGAAGCACCTCAATTTGGAATTAAAAGATGCTTTATAATAAATTACATTGGGAACAGAATCAGGCAGATGAATACAGTATTGTACATTTTGAGTGAACAAAATTGTAACAGTCCATTTTGGCTACATTTAAAATGAATACAGGTCAATTGTCAGATACCTGGATCTAAAATCCTGTAAGTTTTTTCTCAGCTGCTAAAACCTTTTCCTCCACCTCCTGGTTTTATGTCTCCTTACCTTTCTAGGTTTAAAGCACCGTGAATTACTTTCTGTTACAAAGAACTGCTCAGAATAACAATATTGCTGAATGACAATATTATCAAATAATAGTATTGTCAAACATTACTGTTGCTTTCTGGATTAGAAACATTGTCAGTTGCTGGCTTCAGTTTTAATCAGAGAGAATAGCTGTAGCAATACTGAAAATAAGGTAAATGCAAATAGATACCCAAATAAATATTCACTAGTGTATCAGTCTTATGATTCAAAAATATTTTGGCACTAGTTCAGCAAACACATTTAAACCCGCTCTTCTTACAGGCAGGGAGAGGCATAGTCATATGCTGAAAATTGAACTGGTTTAAAGAAAATCCTTACTTGCTTTGAACAACTCAAGGATCAACATTAAGGGGTTCCTACAGAACCCCAGAGCAAGCACGTTTTTAGGTTAAGGATCTTCTACTTTCATTATAGCTGTATTTGTAAACATTCAACTTAGAAAACAATGCATAGATGTCTATGTATGCTCAGCACCTTCAGTGCTAAGATTTCTGGCAGTCAGGCTACAAGAAGGCTAGGAAAAGTCTCCAAAACTTCTAGTAGCTCCAACTGGAATTTGTGTGTTTGGTTTTTAAATTGTCAGTTTACAGCTTTTGTTTTGTCCTTTCAATGATTTGTTAAAAAAAAATAATAATTAATTGTATCTTTCTTTGATACTTCAGAGTGTTTCTAAAATCCAAAGGTATGAATCTGAACAGTGAGGTCTTACAACAACCTGGAAATAACCCGTTAGTGAAATGTAAAGATTCTGGCAGTGTCTGAACATGGTTGCCTGGGTGTGTTTTCTGTTTTCCTATCTACCTGTTCTATTTTATCTTCTTGGGAATTTTGAAGGGGCGGTTGTCAATGTTTGTTCAGGGTGACTAACAGGTTTTAAAAAGGGATTTGTGCTATTTCCCTGTCAAATGCAAGCATGTTTCAAGATTTGAGCTTAAGCTTAGTAGTATCAATCTTAAAAAAGTCAGAAAACAAAGAAGAAGAGGGAAAAACATTGTCAATAAATTGCATGACTAATAAGTCAGAGTAACTGAACTAGTATATTCTAATGCAGATTGCCTTACGTCACATTTAAGAGCATGCCAAACATTATTATTCTCAGTGCTAATTGCATCAGTTACAGGATATTATTTAAAAGTGTGGACAAAATTTTAATACTGTTTCCACAGTGCAGGGAAATGACAATATTGAAAGAAAAATGTGCATAAATGAAAGTCAGATTCTACCAATATTCAAATCATGGTTTTACAAGGTGTAAACTAGCTGTACACAGGCAGCAAGCCCATTTAAGATCTTTTATCTCTGTTGTTGTGGCAATGGAAAAACAGTTCATCCTCTACTGAGGATTCATTTTGACCCACCAAAGAGAAGCACTGGTATGCCACGGTGGCTTAACATTGTACTGGAAGTCAAGCACATGTAGATGTGCTAAACCATTTCATTTTCATGCAGATTTTCTAAACTGTGCTGCGCTGATAATTGTGGTAATGATGCTGAAATTAACAGATGCAATTTGATTATATTTTACATGCTTAAATAAGAAGTTGCTCCATAGGTGCTGTGTAAATCACAGAACATGTTTGAGTATAATGCATGAAACTGAGAAAGATAGGGGTTTTTTTTATTATTATTATTTTTTCATGTTTTACTCTGCATGCCTGCATTTACATATATGTAGTTCAAGTTAACATGCAGCCACATTTTCAAGCATTGCATGCATGTATCCCTCAACACTGC